GTCGAGTCGCACTGCACGCGGAGCTGGCGGCTGCTCAGCACACGGACGGTGCGGCACTGCGCGGCCGAGGCGCTCGTCTCTGCGGACCTGGCGGCAGAGGGCGGCGGGGGGGAGGAGGGGGCGGTCGCGGCGGTGCTGCTGCGCCCTAGCGGCACCCTCCACCGCTTGCTCCTCTCGCCGCCGGCGCCGGAAGGCGGAGAGGCGGCGGAACTGGACGCGAGCGAGGCCGCTGCCGGCGGCGGCGAGGGGCGGCGGGCGCACGCGCCAGCAGGAGGCTTGCCTGAGAGGCGCGGGCTGTGGCGGGCGGCACCGGCGGAAGTGGCGGAGGCGGAGGAGGCGGGGGGTGAGGCGGAGGAGGAGGCGAGGAGCGCGTCGGCGGGCTTGCTGCAGTCTGCACCGACGCCGGCAAAGGGGTTTGGGGCTACCCCGGCGGGGGGGTGGACGTGTCGCGGACGTGTCGCGGACGTGTCTTCCTCGGACCCGGGCGGGGAGGGGGAGGGCGGCGAGGAGGAGGGCGGCGAGGAGGAGGGAGAGGAGGAGGGCGAGGAGGAGGAGGGCACCAGCTGGCTCGCCCTCCCCTCCGGTGCAGACGCCTCCGAGGCGAAGGGCGAAGCGAAGGGCGAGGCGAAGGGCGAGGCGAAGGGGCGGGCCTTGGGCACGGGGCGGGCCTTGGGCACGGGCACCGCCGCCGCGCCCTCCCCGGCCCAGCTCGACGGCGGCCTCGGCGGCAGCAGCCCTGTGGCAGGCTGCGGCACCCCGTGGACGCCAGGCCGCCCCTCGGCCGGCAGCGGCAGCGCCTCCCATTGGGCCTCCAGCGGTGTGCCTTGGGGCCTCGGGGGCGACGGTACCCCGGGGCAGAGCGGCTACTCCTCCGACACCGCCTGGAGCGCGCCGCCCCGCAGCGCCGTCCCGTCTCCGAGTGCCATCTTCCGAGACTCTCTCTCGCTCGCCCAGCCGCACCAGCCTCTGCCGCGCCCTCTGCCGCAGACGCGCCACACCCAAGGCCACCGAGGCCAGCCCACTCGAGGCCAGCCGCAGCATGGGACGGCCCATGCGGCGAAACCGCCGCCCGCGCCCCGCCCGCCGCCACCGGCCGCCACCACCGGCGCGACCAGCCCAGGCCGCAACGCCGCTCCGCCCTCCCCCTTTGGAGCATCCGCGGATGCGCCTCTCGACGCGGTCCCAGGCATGCACGCGTGCCGAGAGGCGGCGCCCGAGGCGGGAACGGAGGCGGCGGCAGAGCCGCGCGCCAACGGGGCGGGCCAGGCGGCGGAGGTTCGTTTTGCGGCGCCGCTCGGGACGACGGCGCCGGTGACGGTCGCTCTTCCCCCACGGCCGGCGGAGCCTCCTCCAGCACCCCACCTCCGGCTCGGGAACCCGGAGCGCGTGCGGGCGCTGCTCGCCCCTCCGCCCGTCGGCGGTGCGCCGGCGTCGAGGCTCGCTGTTCTGGTCGAGTGTCCGCCCCTGCCCGAAGGGTGCCCTCACCCCTCCGCCTCTTGCGCGGTAGGCTCGCCGCCCCGTCGGTTCATTCCTCGGGGCTGCTGCGCGCGCGCGCCGTCGCGGCGGAGGCGGAGCAGGAGGCGCGCGGGCGGGACTTGTTCGCGCAAGAGGTGGAGCGGCGGGCGCTCCGAGAGGCACGCCGCCGCCCTCGAACCGATGCGGGACGGCGTCTCTTCACGGCTCGTGCCGTGAGCAGGCGAGTCGGGCCCTCGAGGCGCCGCTGCACGAGGCCACACGGCGCGCGCCATCTTCCGCAGCCCAGACGCGTGTAGTCGAAGAGCTGTAGAAGGCACACACGCGTGCAGGCCAGCCGAGGCTCAGCTGCGGTGCGACGCCGTTTGGGTACGGGCCGCTGCCGAGCCTTCTAGGAACCCTCTAGGAACCCTCTAGGAACCCTCGAGGAACCCTCGAGGAACCTTCTAGGAACCCTCTAGGAACCCTCTAGGAACCTTCTAAGAAGCTTCTAAGAACCCTCTAGGTACGGGCCGCTGCCGAGCCTGCAAGAGCCGGGCAGCGGTAAGGCGCGGCCGAGGGCGCGCCGCGCCGACAACCCGCGCTGGCTCGCGGCAGCACGGGCGAGTGCCATGCCGAGATCAGCCGAGATCAGCCGAGATCAGCCCCCAGATCAGCCGAGCGAGACCGTGTCCTCCGAGACTCCTCACGGGCAATGCAGCCGCCGCTCCCTACAGCCACCGTGCCTGAGGCCGGGACTCGATCTGCGGGGTAGGAGCTGCAGCCCGACTTGCGCGACCTCTTCACAGCAGACCGCGAGCCGGAGGCCACCGACACGGAGAGCCACGGGATCCCGACGCCCGGCGTGCTGCGGAGCCTGCGCCCGCGCCAAGACGTCGCCGTTTCTCCCGCGATCTGGCCGAGCGCGCTGTGGAATCGGCCGAGGCAGCGCTCAGAGGTGACGTTTGACTAAGCGAGGGCGAATCGATTCCGTCTATTGCTACAACACATTCTCGTTTACCTGGATTAGCCCCAAGACGCGATGCGAGTATTTGACACCTCCTCTCTCGGATACACGAGGCATCGTATAGAATATATTATTTGACATGTCTTTTTATGAACAAAGAGGAGAGCGCCGCGGCGGGCCGCCGGGCGCCCCGGCGACCATGATTGTGCCGGCGACCCAGAGCCACAGCCAGACGCTCCAGAGCGCAGTGCGCAGAGCCAGAGGGAGAGCCGGCCGCGGGGCGACACGCAAGTCGCAACGACTCGCAAACGGATCCACACGGAGTGTGTTGGGGACACTCGAGTCGTCGCCGTCTCCGAGACGCGAGCGGAGCCACACAGGGACCGTCAAGACGCACTGCACTGCGCAGCCGTCTGAACTAGCACTGCTCCGCCGAAATGCATGAGGCACCGTTGTGCCAAATCGGCGCGCCAGCCGGGCACTCGCAGCGAGCCACGCACAGCATCACGCACGGCATGATCGGCGGTGACTCGCAAGTGCGCGTGCACTTCGAGCCGCACTCCTTCCAAACCCGGCCACCAGTGCACTTCTCCGGTGCCACCTCGAGGTCCTGGCCCCGCGCCATCCACCCATCTCCCTCGGTGGCGATGATGGAGCGTGAGTCGGTGGATGGATCATCCGAGCGCGGCAGCCGCCAGCCGTTGGTCTGCTCGGTGAGGCTCGCGGCGGAGGCGGAGGCGGCCCAGCTCGCACCAGCGACGGCCGCCTCTCCAGTCTGTAGCAAAGAGGGGCGGGGGTTGAGAATGGGAGTGAGGGCGGGCTCGATGTGCGCGAGGGCAAGAGGTGCGAGCAGTGTGGTTGAGTGCACAGTGCACTGGAGTGTGAACTGTGAGCGGCGGGTACAGGAGCGAGTACCTAACAATTTTCAAGCAATAAAATATAATCGGTGTCAAAACCCTTCGATATAAAGGTGTAAATCGCGATTTTTTTCGAGCTCAGACGGCAGCGAGCGACTTTTGCCTGCAGCCTAAGTAAGGCTAAACTCTGGGGGGCCGCGGGGGCTGGCCCCCTATAGGACTGGGTCCAGCCCTTTGGCACAGATCTGACGTTTTATATCTGAAAGTATAGAGATGAGAGTGAGGTAGAACCGGACCCGGTCAAAGTCGGCGGGTTTCGGAGGGGGGGATATGACACCGGAAAACGGCGCGCATTTGGGCACATGACTGGGAGAACTCTGTGGTGGACCCGCTGGGCGAAAGGAGCTCGCAGACCGTTGCAGCCTCACGATGTCATTGAGCGGAGCGAGTGCGAGCGCGGCGGCCAAGCAGCGGCACCAGGAGCAGTGTCTGAGCTCCCCTCCAATTTGAACGGGCCTGTCCAGCCCCTCCGGGCTGAAGCGCACGTCACATCGTCGAAGCGGCGAGCTCATGTAAAATAGACTCGTGTCGTCCATTGCGTCATACTTCTCATTCAAAAACATGCCCGGCCGCACGCCCAACAAACACAGGAGGAAAGACGGAGAAGGTGAGAGAAACTCCCAGTTCGAGCAGAGGCGACACCCCGGCGGGCAAAGCGTGAAGAAACAAAAAAAGAAGCCTGGCACTTGATTTGGCCTTGGCACCAGCCTTGGCGGGCGGGCACGCGGAACATGCACAGGCGCCACAAGGGGCGCAGAACCGACCTAACCCGTCGGAGATGGCGGGAAGGGAGTCCCCCGGGTCCTGCGCGAGCGCGAGAGTAACCCCAGGAGGGCCAAGATGAGCGGTGCGCGCAGGGTTCGGCGTGGAGGGCGATGAACGCGCCGCGCGGGGCGCCGCCTCACCGGCCCTCGCCAACGCCTCAAAAGTGGCGCAGAGTGAGGCGGCGAGAACCGAGCGAGCACGTGTGTGAGCCCCGTGGCTCCAACCGGGCCCTTCCTTTTTTTGAGCAGGTGTGCCGCCGCGCGAGCGACGCTCCGAGATCGCCCGAGATAGCGCGGCGCGGCCCCGAGATCGCCCGAGATAGCGCGAGATCGCCCGAGATTGCGCGGCGCGGCCCGAGATCGCGCACCTCGGCACTCGGCGAGGTGGATGGGTTGGGAGCGAGGGGGCGGAAGTGCCGTCAGTGCGGTAGACGGTGAGCTCGGGGCGCGTGAGCCGGACTTGGGGGCCGGACGGCTTTCATTTATCTCTGCGTTCTCGCACATGGAGTGCGAGATACTCGACTTTCCGCCCCAAACTGTCACTCCCCTTTCTCCCGGCCGGGGTGGGGCCTGGGGCGCGCGCGGGGGCGGCGGGTGTGCGGGATGTCTGTGGGCCCGAGAGCGATATGCCATGTCCGCCTTGCTTTGTTTCCTAACATCGAAGGCTAGCTCAAAAAGAAAGGAGATATCCGTTCTCCCGAAGAAACAAAAAAGACCTGGTATTTGTCCTGCCACGACTACCAACCAGGTCCCATGGTGTGTTCATTTGGGCGGGGGTCATAACAGCAATTTATTTGACTGACACTGAGAAGGTGAGAGAGACTCCCAGTTCGAGCAGGGGCGACACGGCGGGCAAGCGGGAAGAAACAAAAAAGAAAAGGATGATCCGTGCCTGCGCGGCTTGGCGCCACGCCCTGCTCACGAGTTCGTTGCGTTCGGGGATTGACGCGAGCCCCGTCAGCAAAACCTGAAATGGCCGCCCGGTCCGTCGCCCTCGCCGTGACGCTCTGGTGGTACTACCGCACCCTCGTCCTGAGCCGCTCGTGGCAGACGCCACTGGCGCTTGCATCGGGGCTCGCCGAACTGGGGCTGGCCGCGTTGGGCGGCGGAGTCGGCGGCGCTATTCGCGAGGCCCGCGCGGTCGCGGCCGACCTGGCGCGACCGTGGGCCGTCGCAGCCGACCCGACCATCACGTCTGGCCGGCAGCTGTACGAGCGGCTCCTCCTCTCCCTCTCGTGCGCGACCTCCTACACGTACGCCTACGGACCGCTCTCCGGCGTGGTGCAGTTCGCCCTCTTCGCGCCGTGCGAGGCGCTCGCCGCGATCGGCCGCGGCCCGTCGCTGCTCGACCCTTTTCGCGCCGCGACGCTGCTCTGCGCGTGGCTGCTCTTTCACCTCGGCGAGCAGCGCCCTCTCGCCCGCGCCTCTGCCCCCCCGCCACACCGCTCACCCTCTCCACCTGTCCCCCCCCCCCCTCCGCCGCACCGCCCGCAGGCCACCAGCTCGCCATCTCCGCGCTGCTGCACCGCTACTTCTCCCACCGCTCCTTCGACGCGCCTCGGCTCGTCTCGCTCGCCCTCGGCGTCTGCGCGTGCGGCGCCTCGCAGCGCGGGCCGCTGTGGTGGGCGTCGACTCACCGAAGGCTCGCCGCGTTGAGCCGAGATTGAGCCGAGATTGAGCGCTGCCCGAGAGGAGCCTCGATTGAGCGAGAGGTCGCCCGAGGCGGGCAGCGCACTCGTGCCCGGGACACCCTTCCCACCTTCGGCTGGCGGCGGAAGGCATGGTCAGGCGGCGCCGCTTCTCGACCATGAATGGTGAGTACACAAGTTGTGATGGTCAGGCACCACCGCTTCTGCGACGAGCGCGACGCGCCGACCGACGCCTCGCACCCCGACAAGAGGCGTTCTGACGCGGACCGCGACCCGCACTCGCCGGTGGCGGACGGATGGCTGCACGCGCACCTGCTGTGGATGACGCAGCGGCGCAACTTTGCGACGCGGCCCGAGTACGTGTCCGACTGGCTCCGCGCGGCGCCCGAGCTGCTGTTTGTGGACCTGTGCTTCATGGACGTGCTCGGCCTCATCGAAGGCGGCTGGACGGCGCTGCTTGGGGCGGTCGAGGGGCGGAGCTACCGGTGGGCCACCGCCGCCATGCTGCTCAAGCACGGCCGCACGCTCGGCCGCGCGACGGCGTGGCACGCCACCTTCGCAGTCAACAGCCTCTGCCACCACGCGAGCGCGGTCGAGTCCACTTGCGGCAGCCGCAACATCAGCCTCCTCTCGCTCGCCTCCTGCGGCGACTCGTACCACGACAACCACCACCGCAGGAGCGGGGCCGCGAGGCACGCGCCGCCAGAGGGGCTCGACCTGGCATTCGCCGCCATGTGCGCCGCGCAGCGGATCGGCCTGATCCACAAAGTGCGCGAGAAGTGAGCGCCGTCGCTGCTTGTCTTTGTGTCCCGACGTGCGACGAGACGAGACGTCTGGAATGTGTGAAATACGTATATACACACATCGGACATTGTACGCTACGCGTCTGGGCTAGTTCCAGTTCACTTGGCACAGCTCGCGTGTACAGTGTTCCAAAACCTTGATTTTGGTCTTTGATCTTTGTGCCATGCTTGAGACGAACACGAAGGCGATGCGGAGCGAGGAGGAAGCCGCGAAACGTCAAACGAGCGCGGTGCGCGCGAGGATTGCCAGGACGGCGCTCGACGGCCACAGTGTCCTCTGCCAAGCTGCAGAACATGTGCGAGCCAGCGCCTACGCCGCTCAAGGAGTCAGGCGCGGAGCGCCGCGCGCGGAGCGCGCCCCGAAGAAAATTTTGAGGATTGAGGAGGGCGAGGTGTGGGATTGCGAAGTGACCGTTACGGAAAGCATGCGCGACGCTGCCTCTTTGCACCGCTCGCTCGCGGCTGCGGGAGACATGGCCGCCGATGCGGCTCGCACTCGCTCGGCGGGCCTCCGTCCCACAGCCGCCCGGGCGTGCCACGGGTCTGCCTGGCGCTGCGCTGCTCGCACGCTGCACTGCACAAAGCTGCGACAACAAGGGGAGGCTCCTGAGCTTGAGCGTTGAGCAGTGCAGCTGCGGGCGCTCGTGGGCGGCTGTGCAGTGGTGAGAGTGCCTGATTGGAGGCGAGCTGGTGCTGCGCCAGGGTGCGCAGCATGCGCTCTTGCTCTGTGCTGAGGCATGCTGGCTGGCGCCCAACACAATGCCCTGGATGCATTGCTCCACGCCGTGCTGGCTGGTGCAGTACTGCCAGTGCGCCGACTGGCGCGCAGGGTGCGCGTCGCCGCGCGTGGCACGGGTGGCTCGAGAGGCGCGGCTGTCGTTCAACCCCGCGGCGCATGTGCGCCGCGGAAGCTGCTCGACAGGCTGCGGGCATCGCTGCGGCAGAAAGCGCCCGCCCTCTGCTTTGCTTTCGCCCGCGTTTTACGACAACTTTCGGTTTATCATAGCCGCCGAACTTTACCTCGCTGTTTCTTTATAGGCGTCTCGCAGCTGCGTATTCTCGTATTATCTTCGAGTAGTTGCGTGGGGGCGGTATGTATTCTCGTATCAGTAGTTAGTGTCGTGTCCACTAGCTCCGAGTAGAGGGGGCGTCCTTGCAGTTAAGGGGAAACCTGGTACGCGGGGCTAACCCTCGGAGAGTATTCTTTAGCTCCGAGTAGAGGGGGCGTTCCGCAGCTAGGGGAAACCCAAAGCGCAGAACCAACCCTCGGAGACCCGTGTTATGGCCCTGCGAACGCGCACCCCCGGGGCTAGGGCTTTCTTGCCCGCAACCCGATGCCGAGCGTCCGGCCAACTGGGTGCGCTTCTTAGCTCCCCGGTCCTGGGCGTGAGGTTGATGACCGCACTCCAAGTGCTCCAAGGATTTCTATTAAAGCGTGGCCACAACTGACTGCAACAGACTGTCTTCATGTGTCTAGACTCTACCGGTACCGCGGTGCGCTCCGCGCACATAGGTGCCAGCGCGCTCCGCGCGGTATCTACACTCATACAATGAGTTGACATCTCCCATGAGGGCGAGTTAGGGCCAGCAGTAGGCCTTGCGGCTGGCGGCGAGATTGCTAGAGGCGGAGCAAGCCTGCTCAAGCCTCACACGTTCGCACCTGTCGCCTGTCGGTGTGTTGTGCTGTTGTTTGTTCTCTTGGCACCTTGGAGTGCTGGGGGGCGACAAGGAGAATGTGGCCCCGAGTTATGTGTACGCCAACTCAGGGTGTGTGGCAGCCAGCTGGCTGTGTGTCTTGTGAGCCTGTTTGTGTCTGTGTGTCGCTCGTGCCAGTTTCGGGCGGCTGAGATCCTGTGCCAAGCCGACGACACGTACATGCGCCACCCACGCCGCGTCGGTGTTGGCGGAACAGAGCAGACAGCTGCAGACGCCTTCGAGCGCCTGCAGACCAACCGACTCGAGGACTGCGGCTGCGTGTCAAACGACGCCAAGATCAAGGCCATCTGCCCGGCGGGTGGCGTCGACGGCATCCCAGCTGCAATCCTCGAGCAGCAGGAGGGCGAGATCCAAGGTGTCAAAGTCGTCGGCACCTTTGTCGCGCCCGACACCGACGCTGGTCGCCAGTACGAGCGAAACCAGCTGTGCAAGACGTTCGCCAGCAGGTTCAAGGTACTCGACGAGGTCGACCAACTGCGTGACACCGATAAAGACCCGGACGTCTCGCAGCTCTTCTACAAGCTGCTTCGCACGCGCAACGGTACTCCGTACTATTGGATGCGGACTCACCTGCCCGACGTCATCGTGCCCGTCCTCAACACGGTGGTGCTCCCGCGGCTGCGCACCTCCTTCGAGATCCTCGCCAGGGCAAACGGCACGCCCACAGAGGAGCTCGACCGCGCCTGGGAGGAGGTGCAGCTCTCGGTGGCGAAAGGTGGCTCAAACATTGGAGGGCACGCCGACGTCGCCGACGCGTGCTTCGTCGCCGCCTTCCTCGCCGTCTGGCCATCACTACGTGACAGGCCAGCCTACCGGGGCCACGCCCTTGCTGCCGGCGGCGCACCGCCCCTCGTGCAACCGCCGCTACTCGTCCACTTCAACAAATACTACAATTCCATCCGCGACCGCTGCATCAAGCTCTGGGGCGTCTACCGCGCCCGTGCCAAGCATGTCGACTTTGGGATGGTCAACAACTACAACCTTGGGTACTACCGTCCGTCCGGCCTCCCGCTCGTTAGCAAGATGCCGCCCGTCTCCGACCTCTACTCTGAGCAGAGCACTTCTCCAGTCCCTAAACAGGGCACGCTCGCTCAGATTGCGTCGCACGAGCGGTGGCTTCGCTGCCTCGCCGCCTGCGAGCAGCTGGATGCTGAGATGGACGACCCGAACGGCGTCAAACATCGGCAGGCGACACGCTTCATCGCCGTCTCTCAGTTCGCCTCGGGAGCGTGGCTCGACCTCTGCCCCGACGGCCGGCACTCCTCCAAAATCACCTCGGAGGTTTTTGCCACGGCGCTGCAGCGCCGCCACGGCTACTACATTTCCTGCGCCAAGTACGTGTACGACGCCAAGGAGGCGGCTGGTGAGACAGTCACCATCGGTATGCGGAAGGGCGACCAGCTTGCAAACGGATCGAAGGACATTCCGTGCGAGCACAACATTCGTCACAACGGCACCATGTATGCGGCGGCCAACATGGTCCGTGCACGAGCCTGTGGCAAGCTCGTGCTCGGTGACAAGGCGAACCCTCAGACGACTTTCCATCTCAACGAGGGGCACGTCACCGACATGTGTGAGATCGGCGGGGACCTGCAGTCCCAGCGCGATGTCCACTACGAGGTCAAGGTGCCTAGCGCCCTCACAAAGACGAGGCAGGCTGGGCAGGGAGCGGCGGCACACGGCGGATGCTGTGCGTCACTGGGCCACAAGTTTGGCTTCGGCAACACCCTCGACCAAACCTTGCTCAAGGTTCTTGGGTGCAAAGAGCGCGGCCACAAGTCACAGGGCCCGCTCGTCCATGCGACCGGCAAAGGCTGGGTCAAAGAGCACAAGGGACAGTACTACGACGCGCTCCATGTCAAGAACGGAATCGTCAAAATTTGTCTCGTCGAAAGCCAGGGCGGCATCGCGCCGCCAACCAAGAGAATCATCCACAACTTCGCCAAAGAGGTCGGCAGCCCGAACGCCGTCGACCGCACCGACTACGGCACAGCCTCCGGCAGCGCCCGGGGCTTCGCCCAACACCACTCGCAACAGCTCTCGCGCGCCGCCGTCAGTGGCGATGCGCAAAACATCAACAACGCTGCTCGCAACATGCGTGTCATTCATGACCGGTCTCAATGCCCCACCCCCCTGCGCGCGGGCCTTCTAAGCCCGCGGGTAGTCCCCCCCCATCCCCAGGGCCTCCAGGGCTCGCACCTCAACCTCTCACAGGCCAGCGCACAGCGCCATAGAGGTATTTTCTTCTCTGTGCCTTTTGTGGTGCTAGTTCGTGCCAGTCTGCTGTGAGAGGGGCTTGTGTATTCGTAGAATTCTTCTCAATAACAAGGCTGTGAAGTGGTCTCTCCTCACTGTCACATGGCTCCTTCCGGCCGTGGGAAGCGTCGCCGCGAGGAGGACGAGGACGACGAGGACGAGCCGTCGCGCGCCCAGGCGCGCGCGGAGTCCGAGAGCGACGACGAAGCGGGCCGCGAATCGGACAGCGAGGGCGACGAGCGCAGCGACGACTCATCCGGCGAGGTGCGCCGCAGCGAGATCGCATGATGGCTGGCGCTGCCCCGCAAAAGTCGCCATCCCCGTTCGCGCCACGCGCGCCGCGGTTGACCAACGCCGCCCTGCTCCGCCTCCTGATGCCGTCATCCGCCTCCTCTTGGCCCGCCTCTTGACCCCGCCGTGCGGCCCCGCAGTCGGACGAGGAGGAGGAGGGCCTCTTTGTGGCGTGCCAGGAGGGGAGCCTCGACGACCTCAAGGCGATGGAGGAGGCCGGCGCGCTCGAGGTCAACCGGCGCGACCGCGAGGAGGGCGACACGCCCATCTCCGTCGCCTGCCGCTGGGGCCACCTGCCGGTTGCGGAGTGGCTGCACAGCCGCGGCGCAGCGCTCGACTCGCCAAACGGGGCGGGCGAGGCTCCGATCCACGAGGCGGCGATCCACGGCTCTCCCGAGCTGATCGCGTGGCTGCTGAGCGCGCTCGGGCCCGCCGCCGCCTCCGAGATCGAGCGGCGCGCGCGAGGGAGGGCGTGGGAGGCGCGAGGCTGCGGGGCATGTCTCGGACGCGTCTCGGACATGTCCCTAGGTGCGCCGAGGGAGGGTTGACGCCGCTCGGCTTCGCGTGCCTGCGAGGCAACACCGAGGCGGCCAAGGCGCCGCCCGACGCGGCTCGGGACGTGTCCAACCGTCGTGCGCATGACACGTCCACGACACGTCCGCCCAGGCGCTGCTCGAGGCCGGCGCGTCGGCCGCGGCGGTGGACGAGAGGGGGCACACGCTGCTGCACCTTCTAGGAACCTTCTAGGAACCTTCTAGGAACCTTCTAGGTGGACGAGAGGGGGCACACGCTGCTGCACCTTGCCGCCTCGAACGGGCGGAACGAGACCGCCGCCGTCGCGCTCGAGGCGATGGAGGCGGTGCAGGCCAGGGAGGCGGGCGGCGGCGGCGGCGGAGGAGGCGGCGGCGAAGGAGGCGGCGGCGGCGGTGGCGGCGACGACGAGGCGGAGGCGGAGAGGTTGGTCGATGTGCGTGACGGGCTCGGCCGGACGCCGCTCATGCTGGCGGCCGGTGAGGGGAGGCTCGAGGCGGTGGAGTGGCTGGTCGGGAGGGGCGCCTCCGTCGACTCGGCGGACGGCGGCGGAGTGCGGCCGCTCCACTACGCGTCTGCGTACGGCGACGCTCCCTAGACGCTTGCGAGCCACTCCCAAGACACCTCGTCGACACTTCCTAGACTCTTCCTAGACACCTCCTAGACACTTCCTACCTCCTCGACACTCCCAAGACACCTCGTCGACACTCTGCCGAAATTCGTCGACGCTGCCTCCACACCTCCCCGAGCGCAGCACACCTCGAGCACACCTCGAGCACACCTCGAGCTCTGAGGTCGGGTCTGGGCACAGGCGACGCGGCGACGGCGCTGTGGCTGATCGAGCACGGCGCTGCGGTGGGCGAGGCGAGCGACGCAGGCACTTTGCCGCTGCACCGCGCGAGAAGCTCCGACCTGCCCCCACAGTTCGAGCTCATTCGCACGATTGGACTCGCCAGGCAACTTGCCGCTGCACCACGCGGCGCAGGCGGGGGCCGTCGCGCTCGCGGAGCGGCTGCTGCGCGGCGACGGCGGCGCGGGCGGCGCTGGGGCACGGAACGGAGACGGAGACACGCCGATGCTGCTCGCCTGCTTTGGGGGGCACGTGATTAGCCGAGATAGGCCGAGGTAGGCCAAGATTGGAAGGGAGTGGACGAGATTGGCCGAGATTGGACGAGATTGGACGAGATTGATTGGACGAGATTGGCCCGGATCAGCTCGCTTGCTTTGGCGGGCACGTGCGGCTGCGCGAGGCGATTCCGGTCCTCGCTTGCCCCGCCCCTGACATGATGTCTGCACATGCTGTCTGCACATGCTGTCTGCACATTCTGTCTGCAGGCACGTGGAGCTGTGCGAGCTGCTCGCCGCGCGGGGCGAGCCGGTCGATTCGGTGAACGGGGACGGCTGCTCCGGGCTCGTGCAGGCGTGCCACCCACCCGCCCCCTCAACCTCACTCGCTCTCTCTCCCTACTCTGTCTCTCCCTACCCTCTCCCCCCGTCCAACATCCGACGCGCCCACCCACCGGCTCGCCTCGTGCAGGCGTGCGCGGCGGGCCACCTCCCGCTGGTGCAGTGGCTGCTCCCCCGCGCCCCAGGCTTGCTCGAGATGGCGGACGGGCGCGGAGCGACGCCTCTGGTGTACGCGTGCGAGCAAGGCCACGCGGAGATCGCCGAGTGGCTGCTCGAGCAAGGCGCGGCACCGGGCGACGAGGCGGCGCAGGCGGCGGCAGAGGCGGGCCTTGCCGACCTGGCAAAGAAGCTGAAGGCGGCGAAGGCGGCGGCCGCCGCGGCGGGGGGCGAGTAGGTGGTTGTGGGAGGGAGTTGGCTCGTGCTGCTGTCGTGTGCGTGTGGCAACTTGGGGTGACGTCGTAGCCCGCCTGGGTGGCTTGCCGCTTGTGTGTTGATTTGCCGCGAAGCCGAAAGGACGCGTCCGCGGCGAGTTCCGGTGGCGGTGTGGCGAGGTGTGTGATAAAAGATTACACTCACACAGGTGCCAAAAAAAGTTGTGGGCTCCTCGTTGTGGGGCCTGGGGCCGCGAGGGCGGGAGGGGCCTGGGCGATTCCCCGGCGAACCCGCGCCCCTCGTCGCTGCTCGCACGTCGCAGCTCGCGCTGTCCCCGGCGAGCGGCGTCCGGGCAAGCTCCCCCGCTACACGGCTCTAGCAAACACAGCCAAGCTCCTTACTCTCGACGCCCATCTTCTCCTCGAGCCGCACCGGGAACGGAAAGAAGAGCAGTAGCTTCATCGCCCACGCCGGCGGCGCGGTCGTCAGCAAGGCACGCTCCTCGGCCTTGCACCTGCTGCCCTTGGGCCACCGGCCGAGCGCAACGCACGTCTCGCGGCCGTCGCGGCGGCGCGCGTACCGCACGCGCCGCCACCGCCCGTCGGGGGACTCGCGCCGCCGATACGTCAAGTCGAAGGCCTCGCCCGCCGCGCGCGCTTCGGCAAGCAGCCTTCGCAGCTCGACAAACGGCAGCAGGTACGCCTCGGCGCCGCCGCCGCGCGGCCGCTCCGAGGCGGGCGGCGACACGGCCTGTGGCCCGAGCACGCGCGCCATGTACGGGCCGAACTGCCGCGCGCTGTGCCCGCTCGCGAGCAAGTGGCGGCGCGCCGTCGGCGAGAGGAGGTGCGTCACCTCCGCCGGGTAGAGGCCTACAGGAAGTGTCTAGGAAGTGTCCTTCCTGTAGAGGAGGTGCGTCGCCTCCGCCGGGTATAGAGGCCGGCGATGGCGCGCGAGCTCGTGGCCTCGACCCACGCGGCGGCGCCGCCGTCGAGGGCGGGCAGAGCTCCGAAGAGGAGGCCGGTGGGGAGGATGCCGTGGTTGGAGCCCGAGTAGACTCGCAGGTTGGCGAACATGGTGCTGGCCATCATGTCCTGAAGGCCCAGCACGGGGAGCAGCAGTGCGTAGCCCACCGCGACGCCCAGGGCGCAAAGCCGCACGCGGCGGACCGCGCGTGCCAAGGCCGGCGGCGGCGGTGGGGGCGGCGGAGGGGGCGATCTGATGCCTCCGGCGGCAGGGGCGGGGGGCGGCGTGAGGAGCGCCGCCGCCCACAGCAGCGCCAGGCCGAGGTTCATGCCGACGGCGAGGTCGGACGGCGCGCGGCAGAAGCCGCAGACGGCGAGTAGCGCGCTCGCCGCGAGCACGGCAGGGCGCGCTGCGGCGGCGGCGAGGCGGCGCGGCGCGAGGAAGAAGTAGTGGACGAGGATGGTGAGCGAGAATGCGCCGGCGTTGTTTGGCGCCGGCGTGAGCGAGATGAGCAAGTGCAGCAGCACACCAAGGCCGAGGCCGAGGCGGCGGCACGCGGCGCCCGCGCCGCGCCCGTCGGCGGCGGCGGGCACGCAGAGCAGCGCGGGGATGGCGGCCTCGACGAGGATGGTGGCGGCGGGCGCGAGGGCGAGGGCGAGCGGCGGCAGCCACGGGGGCGTGAGAGCGGCGGGCACATAGGCATCGAGGAGCTGCGCGAAGAAGATGGGCGCGCACGAGACGGAGGCGTCGAGGAAGGCGGCGTTGACCTTCCACAGCGCGGTGCACGCATAGAAGACCACGTACTGCGCGCGCACGATGGGCGCGGCGAGGGCGACGGCACGATCGCCGTCGGCGGCGGCGGCGGGCCCGCAGAGCAGCAGCAGCGCGAGCAACGCGGCGTCGGTCTGCAAGTCCCAGAGGAGAAAGTCCCACACAAAGGGCATCTTGCGCAGGATGATGCCAAGGCTCAGCGCCAGGCTCAGCGCGAGCAGCCGCGCCGACGGCGCGCTGCGAGGCGCGCGGGGCGCGAGTGAGTGCGCACTGCGCTTGCGCGAGCCTTGGGCGGTGCCGAGAGATGCGCGCGCGAGTGCCGTCGGTGGTGCGTGGGCCGCGGGGGACACTTCCTAGACACTTCCTAGACACTTCCTCGACACTTCCTCGACACTTCCTGTAGGCACGCCGCGGTTCGTGGGCCGCGGGGGCGAGCGCACCAGAAGAGGAGGAGGAGGAACGGCGCGAGCAGCAGCGGCGGGGAGGCGGGCAGCTGCAGCACGGAGGCCGCCGGCTCGGCGAGCGACGCTTGCGCGTGCGAGAGCGCGCCGCACATGAGTAGCTGCTGCGCCGCGTACATCCGGCAGAAGAGGCGCAGCTGCGGCGGCGCGGCGGCGGGCGCGGCGGCCGCGGGCACGACGGGCGCGCGCGACGACATGCGCACGCGGTGGAAGAGGCGGGTGCCGCGCCCCTCGTACCGCGGCGACGGCGACGCCGAATGCAGCATCTGCCGGTTGTCCCAGACCACGAGGTCGCCCACCCGCCAGCGGTGCGCGTACAAGTTGAACGTCTCAGGGATGGGCGAGGCGCCGTCGTGCGGCACCGCCCACTCACGCGCGCCGTCCGCGCCGCCCGCCGCCGCCGCGCAATTGTCCGCCAGCGCGTTCGGCGGCGGCGGCGGCGGCGGCAAGCGCAGCGCGGCGCGCAGCATCTCGTCGAGTAGCGCCTGTCCGAGATCAGCCGAGATCAGCCGAGATCAGCCGAGCATCTCGTCGAGTAGCGCTACCTGTCCCTCCTCAGTGCCGAGGGGCGTGCCGTCCTCCTCGAGCAGGCAGCGCGTGAAGGCGGGCGCCACGGCGTACAGCGTCTCTCTCCCGCGCATGTCTTTCGCCACCACCGGGAAACGGTTGGTCTCGGGGAAGGCCTCCTCCGGCGGCGTGCCTACAGGAAGTGTCTAGGAAGTGGCTAGGAAGTGTCTCTCGGGGAAGGCCTCCTCCGGCGGCGTGCCGTCTGGAGCACACTCGTGAGGCGTCGCGCGCGTGCCGCCGGGGACCATCTCGCGGAAGCGGCCGTCGAAGACTGCGGTGAGGCCTACGCAAGCAGCCTCGGACATGTCGGGCACGTGTCCTCGACGCGCCCGTCGCAGACGCCGGCGAGGCCTCGAGCGCGACGACGGAGCGCCTACAGGACGGCTTGAGGGGAAGGTGTCGGGCTCCTCCTCGGTGCTTTCCAGAGAGGAGGCCCTCCAGAGCGCCTCGGGCAGGAGTTCGAGGCCGACGCGCGCCGAGGCGAACAGCGTCTCTCCGCCCTGCTTCGGCGTCGCCAGGCAGTACATGGCCGTGACGACGGGAGGCTGCGTGGAGCGCGGCGTGTCGTGCACGCCGTCGGTGTGCCACTCAGCAAAGGACTGCGAGGCGCACAGCGTGCCGTCGGGCACGCCGTGGTGGTCGCGCACCGGGCCCGCTCCCTGGCACTGCACCATCGGCAGCGCCGGCAGCTTCCACCTGTCAACAGGCATGCTGCCGCCTGCAGGGATGCCCGTGACGCCGGTGCTCTGCGCCGTATCAAACGGGCCGGCGCACTCGGACAGCATGGGCACTGAGTCGTCCCACGGAAAGAGCTTGGCGAACTCGGCCTCCTGCGCGGGCGTGAGCTGTTGCTTTGCGAACAGGAGCAGGCCATGCTCGTTGAGCGCTTCGCGACACTGCTGCTGCAGCGCCGGCGAGGCGAGGATTTCCGAGATCGAAGCGTTGGCGACCTCGCGGCCGACGGCGGTGCGCAGAGGATGAAGCTTGAGCGCAGGCGTCATACGTGTATCGGCGTGGAGTATTGCGTTGAGCGGGGTGGGGTGCCTAAAACCCACAAGGAGGGGTACAGCGGGCGGAGAGAGAGAGAGAGAGAGAGACCGCCAATGGCCGTTATCCGTTAGTGCGGACGTCGCCGCGGCTCGCCTCTGCCGCGGCGGCTGCTGCGCGCACGCGGCGGCGCCGCTCTCTCGCGAGACGGCTGGCGACGCGGCTCGCCGCCGACGTACGGTGCGCTCGTCCGACGGTCCGCAGCGTGGCGTGCGCGGCGCTGAGCGCCGCTCTGCGAGCGCCTCTGCGCCTGCACTGCCTGTCTCTGTTGCTGTTGGTGGTGGTGGTGCTGCTGCTGCTGGTGCCGATGCTGCTGCTGGCGCGGCGCGGCTGTGCGACTGGGCTCGACGCGCGCGTCGCGAGCGTCTGACGCGGCGGGCGGCGTCGGGCAGGTGCGCTTCTCTCTCGGGTGGTGGTGGTGGTGGTGCTGCTGCTGCTGGTGGTGCAGATGCTGCTGCTGGTGCGGCGCGGCTCTCCGACGCGACTCGATGCGCGCGTCGCGGCTATCTGACGCGGCGGGCGGCGTCGCGGGCGGCAGCGGTGGCGGCTCGCGGGTGGAGGTGGAGGCTGGTGGCTGTGGTGGACTTTGAGTTTATTTCATGGTCGTGTACGGGGACCGGGGGGTCAACCGGGAGGCAGGGGGTTCAACCAGGCGACGGAGGACCGTGGGCCATCGCGGGGACTGCTGCGTACGGAGGACGCGGCAGATAGATCCGGATGGTCTTCACGCCGGTGGGTGGCACCGAGGCGTCTTGGACGCTCAGCTCTACCTTAAGCTCCTGAGGGGCGCGTGGTTGTAACCACGTAGTATGACTACAACCCACCACAGACACCCTCCCCCACTCCTCACGTGTGTTCACACCCTCACCCTCTCCTCTCTCCTCTCTCTCTCTCTCTCTCTCCTCTCTCTCCTCTTGTCTGTGCTGTCTGCCTGACTCAGGCACTCAATCTGCCGATGCGTGATTGTGTGTGGGCTGCTCCGAGGGGGCCCTCTGTGCGATCCGACGGGTAGGGGGGCTGTGCCCGGGCGGTGTCCGGTGTGGAGTCCCCTTCTGATCCCGCCTGGGATGTTGGGTGTGAGGTTGTGGCGGCTTCGATCCCAAGGGGGGGAGCTGATCCCACTCAATAACCAACTCTCAGGGGCAGTAGGTGGGCGAGCTTCAGGCACGCTCATCTCGATCGTCAAGACGTTGCTACGCGCGGTCTTCCGCGGGGGGAGCTGCGTCGACGGGTGCGGGACCGCGGCGCAGCCAGTGCCGTGGCGATGCCTCCGGCTGTTTGCGGCGGGCGGCTTGCTGCTCGCTGCGATGGCGAAAAACTCGTCTCGCCACACGCCAAGGGCTTATGCTCTGGCGAGACGTGAGGCGCATGCGCCCAGGAGGGGAGGGGGCATGTGTAACGACACTGCTAGAGATGCCTTTCGGGGCCCAGAGATAAAACTTCTGTGATGCCATGCGTGACCTAGTAGTGTCCCCAGCTATGGGCGTGTCCACGTTGGAGCCAGGTGTGGTGTGGGCGCGAGAATAGCTCCGCCGTTTCATGGAGGGCAACCGATGCGAGTCGACTGGTGTGTGTCGTCGTGGTTTCCTATCAAGAATTCTCTCTTCTCTCAGCGGGCGGAGAAAAAAAAAAGTTTTCCCGCCGGTGTCGCTGTGGTGTGGGTGGTGCCAGCGATGCGTCATTTGCGTTTTGTCATTGTGTGTCCGCCTGAGAGAGAGAATTCTTGATACGAAACCACGACGACACACACCAGTCGACTCGCATCGGTTGCCTCCATGAACCTCTCTCTCTCTGTGTCCGCCTCGCCTTGACTTGAAGTGCAGCAAAAAAGAATTTTCGCGAACACTCGCATTCGTTGCGCACACGGTCGCTCCAAGCCCGGCCAAAGGAATCCACCAGAACCTCGAGAACCTCGAGAGGACAGGGTTGCGACCGTGTGTGAGGGAGTGAGTCTGTCTGGTACACCTTGGGAGCCACACGTGGACCGCAAATGACGCGCGACGCGGCCGACCCCGACGCGCGGCACGCTCGCGGCATGCACGCGGAGGGCGACGACTGGTCCAAGCTCCCAAATTCGCAGCGCAAGGATCGGCCGCTCTCGTCGGCGCAGCTCAAGGAGCTGGCAGCAAAGTCGAACGGGAAGGGCTTTGTGGCGCTCGCGGGCAACTGCTCCCTTATCCTCGCCACCGGCGGCGCCATCATGCTCACCGACGGCGTGCTTGTGCCGGCGCTGTGGCGGCAGGCGTGGCCGCCGCTCCTGCTGCTGCTGCTGCTGCTCTGGCAAGGCTTCCTGCTGTCCGCGCTCGGCTTCGCCGCGCAGCACGAGTGCCTTCACTACACCGCCTTCCGCACAAAGTCGCTCAACAGCCTCGTCGGCCGGCTTGTCTCGGTCCCGTCCTTTGCCTTTTTCCTGCACGAGCAGGCGATGCACAAGGAGCACCACACGTACACGCAGGACTTGGAGAGGGACCCGGAACTGGTCGCCGAGGTGGCGGGCTGCACCTACTCGGGCGCCGCCTCCGGGCTCCCCGACGGAGTCGACCTCGCCGCCGTGGCTGCCGCAGGGCGAGACGCTTCCTAGATGCGCCGCGGTTCTCACCACACCTCCCAGCCGCCTCCCAGACAGCGCCGCGGGGGGAGAGACGCCTCGAGCGCGCGCCCGGGGGGGGGGGGGGGGGGGCCCCAATTTGGGGGGGGGGGGGGAATTTTTTAATTCCCCAAAAAGCGAAACCCCCCCCCCCCCCGGGGGGGGAAAGGGTTCCCCCCCCCAAAAAGGTTTTTTTCAAAGGCCCTCCCAGGAAAAAAGGCTTCCAAAAGGGTCCCCCCCCCCCCCGCCCATATTTTTGGGGCTTTCCCAGCCTGGGGGGGTAACCCCCCCCCAAAGTAAAAAAATTTTGGGACTGGGGCCCCGGGGGGGCGGTTTTAAAATTTTTCCCCCCCCCCCAAATTTTTTGTTTTTAATCCGGGCCGGATATTAACCCTAAACCCGAACCTAAACCGAAACCGAACCTTTACCCGAACCCGAACCCTAACC